GTGTGTATCTGATCCTCCAGTGTTACCCCGGAGATGGATTATGTCTCCATTGTATTTAAACCAAAATGAACTGATACTTGTTGGAATGTATGTGAACTAATTGCAATTATATTAGAGCATATTACTGTAGTGCTGAGTGAGCAGGGGCATTGCCTGCAAGGAGAGGAGACCCTTGGGATTGTTTTGCACAGGTGTGTCTGGTGAGGAGTTGTTCAGTGTGTGTCCTTTCCTTCCCCCTCTCCTCTCTTCCCTTATTGTAGTGCCTTATATGATAATGTAGTGGTTAATAGAGTTTACAGTGAGCTTGCCTTAGGATGGACCAGCAAGCCCCAGTGACCCCCAAGCTGTTCACTGGGATTTAACAGAACAGGTTTAGTAGCTGTGTTGTGAAAATGCATTGTTCTCAGTCTCCCTGCCAACAGCGGAAAATTCAAAACAGCAACTTTTTTTCCCCCCCACTTAAACTGGAAACACCTTTATTGATAGTTTAGGACAGTTACACACACATACAGAGACAAATACAAGACAATGAAGTGTAGAATTGTAGTACATGGGCTAATAATATTCTTCACCCTCCTCATCTCCTTCAATACTATATCTGCCCCAGCCCCCTCATATTCCTTCTCTAGGGCAACCATGTCTTCACGGGCCTCAGAGAACTCCCCCTCCTTCATGCCCTCACCCACATACTAGTGCACAAAGGCACTTGTGATCTAGACAAGCCCAGGCATCAGTGATGTCTGTGGTGTTGCTCAGCATGCACACAGCTCTCTGGACCTTGGCCAGGTCTCCACCGGGTACCACAGTGGGAGGCTGGTAATTAATGCTAACCTTGAAGCCAGTGGGGCACCAGTCCACAAACTGGATAGTATGCTTGGTCTTGATGGTGGCAATAGCAGCATTGACATCTTTGGGAACCACATCCCCACAGTACAGCAGACAGTAAGCCATGTATTTACCATGGCGAGGGTCACATTTCACCATCTGGGTGGCTGGCTCAAAGCAAGCACTAGTGATCTCTGCTACTGTCAGCTGCTCATGGAGCAGCTTTCCTTGTCTACTGCCACTTCTGTCCTGTTGCATTTTGGATCCTTAGCTCAGCTCTCATGGAAACATTCCCCTATGTGGCTTTCTCACTGTGCCTCACTACCTGGCTCCTGTAAGAGGTCAGGAAACAGATGAGAGTAGTGAAGCCAGTACTTAATATGCATATTTGAAAGTGTGTGCAATAACTTACGATGGGATTTCTTTTTCTCTTTTCCCATGTGGTAGTCCTTGCTGAGCATAGGTGACATCACTAGTGAACTATTTGTTTGTTTTAAAGGCTTTTAACAGATGTGTTTATACCAAAGAGCCTGTTGTATTGCTTAACATGTCCCCATACTACGAGGAGGGTTTTATAGAGCTTCTGGTGACAAGAAGCTCACAGAAAAGCTTCTGAGTCAGTGAGGAATATTAAAAAGAAACCAAAGCCTCTTGAATCACCAAGGTTTTTGAGGTTTCTTTGTAACAACATGTACATTCTTGGGGCCCTTCAAGCTGTGAAATTGTCCTAGTATTCAACTCCTCCATGGATTTGGGTCAAGTTGAAGGTACTGAGGATGAGGATATTCCTGCCCATGAAGGATTTGTGGGGAGAAGGTTAACCCTAAGCTACAGATGTGTTCCACCTGAATTGAAAATTACATTTGAGTGATAATTCTAGGATTGGTTCTGTATAGAGATGGTGTCAGGGAGGTGCAGGATGGAGATGGGAGATTTCATGGAGCCTGGTCAGCAAGCTCTGAACCAGGTGAAACACTGAGGAGCTGTTGACGAATTCAGAGTTTCTTCATCATGGGGAGTAAGGGTTTCCAGGGCGGGGTAAGTAGTCAGTACAGCCTGTCAGGAGCATGGTCTATTTTCTCTTTTCTTTAATCTATTAAGCTGTGCATTCAGCAGTCTGTTGGTTGAGACAACCACGAATTTGTGTAGTTTGTCACTAGTGTTAAACAGTTTAAGTCAGCGTGTGTGTGATTTTTGTGTCTCCTTTTCCTCAAGCATTCTGGTTTTCTTGTTTAAATATAGTTCTAGTTTCTAGTCGGAACATTTTTGTACCTTATCTTTCCTCTACAAGGGACAAAATTTACTGGTTTTGTAGGAATGAGATGCAGGGAAAAAGCAAACCAACCCCCACCCTGCCCCCTCTTCTAATAAGCAGTTTCTGAAGATGGGAGTCTTAAGTCCATGGGAGAAGAGAATGCCCAAGCACTTGCATCACCTCTCACATCAGACTTTGAGGTTCAGTCTGCAAACTGCCATTTTACACTTCCCAAGATAACCCACCTCTCTGCTGAGTGGTTTTGCATTCATTCTGTCCTGGGGCTTCAATTTTGACTGCCCTGCTGACATGGAAAGAAGCCCTATGAATAATATAGTGGGTAGCTGACCTGGATCAGCATTGCTTGACCTTGGACCAGCTTAAGGCTTTAAACCCTCTCTTAGAACTTGCGTTTCCGCCTTCTCCCTTTCCACATGAGAGTAAATGGAAAGGGTTGCATAGAGCCTCGAAGGCACACCAGGACACACAATCACTCCAGAGTTCCCAGTTGTTCCTAGGAGTTGATTAGCATTGTCATGTTCAGCTGAAATGCCAACCCCAGGAATAAGAACCCCATTTCAAACAATTCTGGCCACTCAGAGCCTGCTTTTGTGGTTGCTCATCCACCGTCCTCCACTAGAGGGGCCTAGCTTGACTGCGTTAGCCAGGCAAGCACGGTAAAATCGGTGTTTTATTCTGCATTCTTATGCAGAGATCTACTAGTTGAGATGGTTTGTTTTAGGATAGGAAATGAAATTGCCTCTCAGTGACAGGAATGGCCAAGCCTGCTTTGTATTTTGACTTTTTTTTTTAACTGATGGATGGTGCAGCATGTCTTCATGTCTCCATGGTTGTTTGTTGCTAAACTTTATATAATGTGTGGTTTCAATTCAGCTTGAAAAATAATCTCACTATCTGTAGCAGTACATTATATATACATTATATGTAATGTTAGTATTTCTGCTTTGAATCCTTGATATTGCAATGGAATTCCTACTTTATTAAATGTATTTGATATGCTAGTTACTGTGTGTGATTTAAACTTTTTTTTTCCCCCTTTTCCCTTTCCTAGTTGTGTGCTTCCTTTTACAACAAGCTTCTAGAAACAGTTCTGAGAATTACTGAGCTATGTTTGTAATGCAGGTGTACTTAGGGAGTATGTAAAATAATCATTTTAACAAAAGAAATAGCTATTTAAAATTTAATACTAACTATGGGAAAGGGGTCCATTGTGTAAAACATAGTTTATCTTTGGATTCAATGTTTGTCTTTGGTTTTACAAAGTAGCTTGTATTTTCAGTATTTTCTACATAATATGGTAAAAAGTAGAACAATTGCAATGCATCAATAAAATGGGTAAATTTTCTGACTGTGACTGTTTTACTTCTGAGTTAGGCCATAAAGGGGATCAATAAATGGCATCTTTGGAGTAACTAAACATTCTATTTGAAACTCCAGCTGCAGGGGTTCTTGCTTCTGTGGGCACTTGCATACATATGTACCTACACAGACACATAAAGAAATCTTTAAAAACAAGGAGAACCTATGATCAAATTTCTCTTGATTTCAAAGTGCACAGAATTTCCTCCTAAAAGAAAGAGGAATTTCTCTAGATTATTCACTGGAGGCCTCCGAGTAAATGTTTATTTGACTTCTTTTGATGTATTTTCCTGCCTAACTTTGCAGTGGCCAGTTAATCTACATTGGGCTAATTTGCATTTCTGGCTGGGTAGAAATGAGAAACACTAGGGCTATTGAGACAGGTTAGCAGATAAGAGTGTGGGCTGTTGTTGTAGAGGACAGGAGTTCAGTTCTCAGCAACCAAGTCTGGCAGCTCAGTCTCTTGTAACACAGTGCTCACAACCTCCTATAATTCATCTCTGCAAGATCTGATGGCCACCTCTGGTCTTCACAGGTACCTGTATCACAGGTACATACCTACATGCAGCCACCCAAAAGTATACATGACCTTAAAAATCATAAAACTCTAAAGAAATGAGAAATGCCCTACTGAACCCTAATCAAGAGAGATGACTAATAGTCTGTTCTCTACCAGTGATAGGACTGCGTCAGAATGTATGTTTCAGTTTGGACAACATTGTATGTATTTTTTCAGGTTACTCCGTTGAATGTAAATTAGCTTGTCCCTGCTGCATCCTCCTGCTTTGGCTAGGGAATAGCTGGAAAGCCGTGTTGAATAGCTCTCAGGCCCTCATTTAACACCCCTTCCCAACAAAAACAATTAGAACCTTATGGTTTATTGTTGATTTTTATCTATATTTCTTTCCTTGGGCTAAATCAGAGATTTTGTATTCTATGGGGAGCCCTGTATTTTAAAGAAAAACTTGCAAATTCAATCCATTTTGATTGCTTGGTTAGAGTTTTTCCACATAGGGTGAATTCTCTATTTGTCTTGAGATAGCACCAGGTGCTCAGCACAAGGTGGCGCCAATGAGCTATAGAAATTTGGCTTCACTTTGCCCCCCAACACCCCACCCCCCCCCCCCCCCAAACCTCATCTCCTGTGTTTCTGGCTTCACTGAACAAGGCAGAAAATGCATTCTGTTATTGCTGGAGAAGGGAAGGATTAATGAAGGGTGTCAGGTTCTTACTAAGTCAGCACTGGGAGCCCTCCTAATATGAATGGAGTTTGCTGAGTTTTCCTGGGGTCTCAGCCTCCTGCAGCTTCCACCCTTACCCTGTGTGACAGCCCGGAAGCCTCTGCCATCTCTTTCCCTTCTCGAGGATCTTACAAACCTAAGCTGGTGGTGGTTAAGGCTTCTGGCCACTCTGCAAAGGGGCCATCTGTGTTTGATCAATCCAGGCGGGAAGGAGGGGGTGGGGATTGTTAAAGAGACTGAAAGCATTCCAGAGGAGTGAGAGACAACCAGAGAGCAGAAAGAGGAGGCACCGCCCCCACCCCGCCTCCAAAGCTAACGGACTGGAGGGAAAGAGGCTGAATGCACACTCCTACTCTGGCCCCACTTAAGGCTGCCATGGGGCCCAGCACTCCTCTGCTCCTTGTCGTCTTTTTGTCATGGACGGGACCCCTTCAGGGACAGCAGCACCACCTTGTGGAGTACATGGAACGCCGATTAGCTGCCTTAGAGGTGAGGGATTCATTTCTCTTCTAGCATAGCCCAGAATGATTCTACATCTGTCGGTGCAACTAGTTGTCAGGGCTTTGGGAAGTGAAAAGGTCGGGCTCTGATAAAAGACTGCAGAAAAGTACACAGCTTAGTGACGAAGAACCTCCTAATTACAGACTGTTTCCCCAACATCAAACAATTGCATAGCAAATAAACAACACTTTTCCCTCGGGATTAGATGGAATAAGGGGACAGAGTGGAAATGAGTCAGAATCTCAGAACTGGCTGGGTATAATGTTAAAGTTTCCCAGGTAATCTGCCTGCAACTTGCTGTCTGTATCTTCCCGGCACCCCAATGCCCCCCCCCCCTTTAAACGGTTTGAAGTCTGTAGCATCTTCATTTCCTGGAGGCTCAGATCACAGCGCAGGCCAAAGGACTCTTATTTAGGTGAATTAAGCCAGGTTCCTTGGACGGGTTAGTCCTTGAAAACTAGACTCCTTTGCTATGGGAGCAAGCAGCAGGGGCTGTTGGAGCCTTGCAGAGTTTGCTCCTTTTCCCAGTCTTTACTCCCTTGGCTGGGCCTCTGCTTGCCTGGGAGTTATAACCCTGCAGCCCGCCCTCCCCCTGACTCCCCCATTCCTTCAGGAACGGCTGGCCCAGTGCCAGGACCAGAGTAGTCGGCATGCTGCTGAGCTGCGGGACTTCAAGAACAAGATGCTGCCTCTGCTGGAGGTGGCAGAGAAGGAGCGGGAAGCACTCAGAACTGAGGCAGACACCATCTCAGGGAGAGTGGAGTGGCTTGAACGGGAAGTGGACTATCTGGAGACCCAGAACCCAGCTTTGCCCTGTGTGGAGTTGGATGAGAAGGTGACTGGAGGCCCTGGGGTCAAAGGCAAGGGCCGAAGAAATGAGAAGTACGATATGGTGACAGGTAAGTGATCTCAAAGAGGCCCAAACAATCTCAGAACTCCTTTTCCCTGCTTCTCTTCTCCTTATCCAAAGCCACTTTGGCTCCATCTTCTAGAATACGTTTTGAGGAAACCCCTAATGACAAGTCCACTAAGAATTTCTAGAGGCCCATGCCTTACTGGTGCCACCATCTCTTAGCCCTCCATGAGTGGACACATGCACAGGGAAATGTCTCCCTGTTCTCCAGATGGCCCACCCGCCATGGCAGGGGGAGGTTCCTGCTATAGATATCTAACTCTAGGCCTCTGTGTCCTTCTCCTGTGCTTCTCCTCTCCCCCACCAGACTGTGGCTACACAATCTCTCAGGTGAGGTCAATGAAGATTCTGAAGCGGTTTGGTGGCCCGTCTGGTCTATGGACCAAGGATCCACTGGGGCCAGCAGAGAAGATCTACGTGTTAGATGGCACACAGAACGACACAGCTTTCGTCTTCCCAAGGCTGCGTGATTTCACCCTTGCGATGGCTGCCCGGAAAGCTTCCCGAATTCGGGTGCCCTTCCCCTGGGTAGGCACAGGGCAGCTGGTATATGGTGGCTTCTTGTATTATGCTCGAAGGCCTCCTGGAGGACCTGGAGGGGGTGGCGAGTTGGAGAATACTCTTCAGCTGATCAAATTTCACCTGACAAACCGAACAGTGGTGGACAGCTCAGTGTTCCCTGCGGAGAAGTTGATACCCCCCTACGGGCTGACAGTAGACACATATATTGACCTGGCAGCTGATGAGGAGGGCCTTTGGGCTGTCTATGCCACTCAGGACGATGACAGGCATTTGTGTCTAGCCAAGTTAGATCCACAGACGCTTGACACAGAGCAGCAGTGGGACACACCATGTCCCAGAGAGAATGCAGAGGCTGCCTTTGTCATCTGTGGGACCCTATATGTTGTCTATAACACCCGCCCTGCCAGTAGGGCCCGTATTCAGTGTTCCTTTGATGCCAGTGGTACTCTGGCCCCAGAACGGGCAGCACTCTCTTATTTTCCACGACGATATGGTGCCCATGCCAGCCTCCGCTATAACCCCCGTGAGCGCCAGCTGTATGCCTGGGATGATGGCTACCAGATTGTCTACAAGCTGGAGATGAGGAAGAAAGAGGAGGAAATGTAAGCAACTGGTGCTTTTGATTCTCTTATCCCCTCACATTTATATTCTTATTGGGTCTGCTGTTCATTCTTCACATGAAGGCCAGTGGTGGCTCATATCCCTTAATTTTTAAATGATAGCCAAATTCTCATAGCCCTTTTATTTTATGCAGATTGGAAGGAATTTTTTAATAACTAAAACAGCAAACATCCTACATCTTCACTCCTGCTCTCTCCTGCTCTGTGCCCACAAATTTTAGTCCCAAACCCAGAGCCCTGACCTTTGGATAGGTCAACCCCAGACAGCAGTGTGACCCAAGGAAGAGAAGAAGTCACAGAGACATCTCTGCCCTCTTTCATTCACTCCTCCAATGTGGGGAAGAATGGGTTTTCCCCCACATCGCTTTGTATGGCAACATTTTACATTAAAAGGAAAACCTACCATTCCTCTCCTGTGTGTGTTTGGGGTAGCCCTCAGATCAGAGTTCCCATGGCTGTTTTCTTCCTCCTGCTATGTTAGGGATTGGCTGGGCTCCGCTCACTCCCTTGGGAACTTCTCTAGTTACATATTTTACTGTGGGGCACTTTAGAAGGTTGCACAAAAGGCCTCCCCTCCACGCCCACTTTACTCCACAGCAGCTACAGAGAACCACCAATGGCACAGAGCCTCTGACTGCTGGACACTGGAGCCCAGGGGCAGGGCTTCCAAATCCAGCTCTTGGTGGACTTTGAATCAGAAAGTGATCTTACTGGCTTTGAACCCTAGTGTAGAAACCAGGCTGCAGCATACAAGTGTCTAGTCTCACCGCTGAAGTGGATTCTGTCTCCAAGTGCGAGTCCCCACTCCTACCTCCAGCACTGGCTCTTCCTGCTCTGGGTTGCACAATCCTTGGTCTGAACCACTTGATTTTCCTGCTGCCACAGCGTCTGCGGTTTGGGCAAGGAGGAGGGGCAGTGACCATCCCAGATGTTGGTCTCACCAGTTCCTCAACATATCCTCTGCTCTCCACCCTCATCTGCCCACCCTCCTACTCCAGTCCTGGAAGCCTACTGAAGCCAGCCCTGAAGTCTTGGAAACTTAATCCCTGCTGGTGTAATACCCTAACCTTATGCAGCAAATTGTAGGGGGCAATCCAGAAGGTGGAAAGGAGTGGAGGAGTTCCAGGCTTGGCACTCTAGTCTGGGAATCTGCTGGTCTCTGGTTGATGTCTGTTTCCCAGGCCTCATCCCCATGTTCAACTCACAGGCTTAAGGCTGGCTGATGGATAGATGCCTTGGCTTCTGTGGGGGAGTTTACCTCAGGCAGCCCTCTGGATTATTTACCAGGGAAGAAGGGGGGACAGGAACACAGCCTTCTCTTCAAAGTACAGTCCTCCTTCCACTGGGGTGGATCAGGAAGGGCCTGTGATCCTCCTTTTGTCTTTCTTTCTTCTCTCCTCAGGCAGAGCTGCTCCTGACGTAGGTTGGTGAAAGGCTGCCGAGGCACCTCACAAAGGCGCTATTGTAGGGAGCCTGACGCGGGAGGGGGCTCTCTCCCATTCAATTCTCTCCTAATGTGGGGCTGGCAACAGTAATCACCGCCTGTCAGCCCATAGAGGGGTCTGCCCACGGAACATCTGGCTTCAATGCAGGGCACATAGGAGGGGTGTGGAGGAGGGAGCTCTCTGTGGAGGCCTTGAGAGCAGGACCAGGGGATGAAAGGTGCAGTGTGGCGCTGTGGCAATGAGCATGTGTAATGTGCTCGTGTGTCTCTCTGTATGGCTGAGTCTGAGCAACAGTGTGAGATGGTGGTATTTCGTGAGACTGCGTGCATACAAATGTGTAGGTCTATTAGGCTGTGTGCATGCAACTGTATGAGATTATGTGTGTGAGAGACACTGAGGAGAGCACTGACTGGAACTCTCTGTGTTGTGTAACTGTATGCATGTGTGTGACCACATGGCAGCAGTACTTGTCTCCTTCCCAGTGTGACTGTGTGCCTGGAGGAAAACCAGTGCGGGGTGGGACTGGGTCTGTGGAGTTTTGTTGATATAGGAGTGGCTTTTTGATGACCCAAATGAGAATAGCTCAGATGGTGTATGTAAATCTCAGTGCAGGAACAAGTGCATGGATTGTATCTTTAATGCTTCACCCATTCCCTGCAGACGAGGTCCTCCTGTGTCACACAGGGGTCTACTTGTGACATCTTTCTTTGCCCAGAATCCTTAGTGGGAAAGAACAATTGGCTTTTGCTTTTTGTTGATTTGTCTTAAAATTTCCTTGGAAAGGCTTGCATAGACTTATCTGAAAGGTCAGAGACCTCCCAGGCCTAGTCACTTGGTCCTTTTTTTTTTTTTTTTTTTTCCATTTTGGCTCTTGAGCAGTAGCTGGGTCTATTTTGGAAGTTTTTACTGTGCTTGCCTCTTGGTGCCTGCCAGAGAAATTGAAATGCTTGTCTGTTCATACTAATGGAGGCCCATGAAACCCAGGTGGTGGGGAGGGGCAGGACAAAGACAGAAGGATGACATTGATTCTGCTATCACTGCCTCCTCTGTGATGGGGCTCTGAGCTAAACAGGAACCAGCACCCTTTCCCTTGTTTCCTTCTTCAGCCTCAGATTTTCCAGGCCCGCCTTTTGATTCTTGTCCTTGTAGAGGTGCCTGTTCCTGAGGTTTCTCACAGCTCCCTATTTGTCTAGCTGGCTTAGTTCAAAACTAGACATGTTCATTTTGAGAACTGCTGCAACTGCCCTAGTGTTCCTCCTGGCCTTTAGACAGGGTGGGTCTCTAGGGCTTTCTATCTAGCCCATCTAGATAGAAAGTTGCATTGCTGCATACTCTTGGTAAGCCTGCTGTTTCTTCAGCTGGAGGGCAAGACCTGGGATATTCTTGGTTCCAGCAGCCACATTCTCTGCTACAGCCAAGACTGGTAAACACTCTCTCTATCTCTCCTTCTCTCTCTCTCCTTTAATTTCTTTTGTGTATATGTGTGTTTTGTCTCTGTGTATATCTGTGCACCAGTTACATGCCTGGTGCCCACAGAATCCAAAAGAGGATCCCTGGAAGTGGAGTTACAGATGGTTGTGTGTAGCCATGTAGGTGCTGGGAATTGAATCCAGGTCCTCTGAAAGAGCAACCAGTGCTCCAATTGCAGAGGCATCTCTCTGCCTCTCCTGCACCTCTCCTGCACCTCTTTAATGTCTACACTCACAAGGCAGAGCTTCAGAAATTAAGTCTTTATTTATGGATTTAATAACCATATAGAAGAATGAAACATAGATGCCAGTTTGTCATCTAAAGGGCAGGAGAGTGAGACAGGAAAAAGAAAGTGCTCACAGCCCCAGCTCACCAGAACTACCAATGGCCACCAGCCCCACTTCTCCAGAACAGTCCACGGGATCTCTGGGGTCTGTCCCCTTGAATATTTGCCTCTCTGAGGAAGATTCCCTGACTCGTGAGCACAGCTGTGATGCTCAGGGAGGGACAAGTCAGGTTCTCTTTTCTGGGCATTTTAGAAACGACAGATTAAAGAAGTTAGATACAAGGGATTATTTGGACACTCTCCCTCCCCAATTAAAAATGTCTTCTTTTTGGAGGCACTTTTGTGTGTACAGTGAGATGGTAAGTGCCAGACAGCAGGCCAAAGTGGACATTTGTAGAGAAGCAGGCAGGAAAGAGGGGCTGGCCCTAGTCAGTGTTCACAGGCTGCCTACAACCATCCCAGGACATGGGGGACAGGATGAAACACATTCATAGGTCCCACAAAATGTCTGAGTCCCTATATGTCTCCTTGTTTGGGTTTGTTGGCTTTGTTTCACCTTGTATGACTGGGTTCCTGTTTCCACAAGCCAGTGACTTCTCATCTTCACCTTACCTCCCAACCAAAACAGTTGTGCCATGCCTGAGCTACTGGGAAAAGAGCTGTGCCCTTGTAGGATTTTCTTCCTTGAGTATAACCCAGAAGGCATACAGAATAATTAAACAACCTGTGCTAGGCCCATGACTCTTTTTTTTTTTTTAAGAATACATTTTTTTAATTTTTATTTATTTTTTTATTAGTTCAAATTAGGAACAAGCTTGTTTCACATATCAATCCCTTCTCCCTCTCCCTTCCCTCACCCCTATTCCTCCTCTCCCGCCTCCAACCTACCCCCCCCCCCATCCCCCCTCCACTCCCCAGGCAGGGTAGGGCCCTCTGCAAAGTCCACCACATGATCCTGGCCTAGGCCCATGACTCTTAAGCCAAGCTCCATTCAAGCTATGCCTCCTCCATGATGCCTTCCACGTGACCACTTACTTCAATTCATTCATGGCTGACACAGTTTGGATCTTTAAGTTTTGTTTTGTTTTATGTGTATGGGTGTTTTGCCTGCATGCTTGTCTGTGCACCACTTGTATCCTTGCTGCTCTTGGAACCAAAAGAGGGTCTTATATCCCCTGGAATTGAAGTCACAGAAGGTTTGGGAGCCACTGTATGGGTGGTGGGAATTGACCACCAGATCTCTCGGAGAGCAGTCACTAAGCCATCACTCTAACCCACATAGTTTGCATCTTGATTACCACTGCAAAGCACTGAAAGCTTGGTCCCTAAGGAGTTAGTCCTTGGAGACAGTGTTGGGCTCCTAGCCCCTTCTGCTCTCTCCAAGGCCACTGTAGGAAGCACCTTTCCTCCATCACATGCTCCCCCACAAGATGCTCTGCCTTGTCACAGACTCAAAGCAGCCAGACTAGCTTATCATGAACTGAAGCCTCATATATCTGATCAGTGTGACAAAACCTAATACTATAGTGTTGTCTTTCCATTGTAATAGGCTCACAGAGACTTCTTATTAGTTATAAGTGCTCAGCTTCATCTTATGCTTGACCCACTAGCTCTGACAACTGTTTCACTTCATCTACGTTTTGCCTTGGGGCTTTTTACCTTTCCTCTGTATGTCCTACTCCATGTCTGTCTGGTTGGCAGCTATCTGGCCCCAGGCATTTTCCTCTTTCTCCCTCATTCTCTTTCTTCTGCTCTTACTGATGTTAGGTTTTTCCTTTTATTCTCTCTGCCCACTAGCTCTTCCTATCCCTCTACCATCTAGCTATTGGGTATTCAGCTTTTTATTAGACCAATCAGGTGCCTTAGGCAGGCAAAGCAACACATCTTTACATTGTTAAACAAATGCAGCATAAACAAATGTAACACACCTTTACATAGTTATATTAATATACCACAACATAGACAAATGTAACATCTTTACCTAGTTAAAATAATATTCCACATTTCCCCATTTTTCTCTAAATAAAAACAGGGTTTTAACTCTAATGTAGTAAAACTATATGCAACAAGAAAAGTTATCATGAATTGCATGTACAATATCCAGTCCATTTGTATTTGGCAAATTCAGAGAAAATACTCCATTATTTATCCTATCTTGGTGAATTCAAAGTTTTGTACCTAATTTACCCTCTATTATAACTA